CTTCCATCTTCTCTTGATGCTTTCTGCATCATTCAATAATTGGCCCAGAAAATCTCTCAATAACAAAAGTCGAGGCTTGAATTTTTTCTTCAGTTTCTAGGTAAAATTAACCATGGGCTAGAGGGAGACATCATGTTAACACGGGAGACAGGACAGGCAATATACAACAAGAGAGGTTGGCAGAGCAAAGATGAAAGTATCTAGAGACACATGAGGAATGCAATTGTTAAAGTGAATAGCAGTAATCCTGTTAACTGTTGGTACATAGAGGGGATTGCAACCATGTAATGAAGCAAAGTATAAGATTTTTAAAACTGATGCTCTGCTCTGCAAATCTTCACTCAATTCACTATGGTGGTGGTAGTAATTGTGTGCCACCACATTGTACCCTGCTCATAATAACCCTATATAGGGTTTCCAATGCTATAAATCTTTTCAGGAGGAGAAAGCCTCATCTATCTCCTATGAAGCAGCTGGTAAATTCAAACTTCTGACTTTGTGGTTAGCATCCCAGTTCATAACCAATTACTCTACCATGGCTCCTTCAATTCACTATAAAAAGTCTAAAAAATAAAGTGTTTTACTTCCATGTAAAGTGCTAGGTTCACAGGCTTTTATTATATTAAATAAATAAATAATCATTAATATATAAAAAATGGAATCAAGAGTAGACTAGTGATGGGTGTGTATCAACAACAATACTAAACCAGTTCTATAAACTTGAGGTACAATCAAGTCAGGAGCAGTCTAATTGTAAATAATTCTCCATATATTAGGAAAAAAGGAGCTCTGGTAGCATAGTTGTTATGAGTTGGGCTGCTAATATCACGGTCAGCAGTTCGAAACTACAAACAATTCTGCAGGAGAAAGATGGGGCTTTCTGCTTCTGTAAAGATTTACAGCCTCAGAAACTCTATACAGGGTCACTATGAGTTGGAACTTACTCCATGGCACATAACTACCAGCAACCATATTAGGAAAGACTACAGTTTCCAACAAAATAAACATTATCCATCCTCAATGGTCTAAGGGTTTGAATTCAGTTCCAGTCCTTGCTGGCCATGGAGACAGGAAGGACAACAAATATAAAGAGGGGAGAAGACTAAGCTATGGTAAAAGAGCCGGAAAATGTGGTTGAGAGCACCTGAGCCCATGGAGTCTAGAGAGGTAGCAAGTGCTCTGGCATTTTCTCAACCAAGGACCATCCGCATTCATATAAACCATTGTAAATAAGGATGGCTGAAGATGAATTCACCTTAAAATGCCTACATAACAAGAACAGAGATACAAAACCTGGAAATAAAAAAGAAAAACAAGAAACACAGAACTGGGTGGGGAAACCACAAACACAATTTATTGGACTTTTGTGGGTATGGTTTCATATGGAGCCAAGGAAGCACACTAGGAGTCAGGACTGCCCTGAGACGGTATGCAAGCAGGGATCCAGATGATTCTGCCACATTCATTCTTGATTGTTCTGGGGGTCAATGATGATGTTTTTCCAAGACCCATTGGCATACCACCTGGAGGACCACTGCCACTTGTACAGGGACAGATCCATTTACACTGGAAGTGCTTCATTTGGAGACACGTGTCAGCAGCAGGCAAAGGTGCCACAGGAGGCAGGTGTGCAGACAAGGGTGGAGCAGGAGGGTTGACAGCAGGAAGAAGACTGGCAGGTGGGGACCATGCCTAGGACTGGCTTGCAGCTCATGGGCACACAGCTGACTGCCTGGCAGGAGCTGGGCACACAGCAGGCCAAGCTGCAGGAGGAGGGGCAGCACCGAGACTGGGAGCCACCAGAAGAGCAGCTGGCAGCCCTACAAGGTGACTGGCTGGATGTGGCCATGCTGCACATGCGTTGGCACAGCAGGGTCACACAGGAGGACACTGGGCTGCAGCTGGAGCTCATAGAGCAAGAGGGTGAGCAGCTGGTGGTGGGGATACAGCACAAGGGTGAGCAGCTGGCCGACTGGCAGCACGAGGAGCAGCAGGTGTGGCACATGGTGGGTATGTGGCTGAAGCTGGTTTCAGAGGGGAGGTGGGGACAGGTCTGCCAGTGACTTCTGGTGGTCATCTTTTATAGCCCTGGCATTAAGGCATCCAGACAACACAGAAGTACAACTATTTTTTTTTTCTTGCTTTTTGTTTCCTCTGGACGAATTCCTAGAAAATTATTTCTCTATTGTGGATTTTTCTGTTAGTGGCTAGTGCCTACTAGCCACATGACTAATTACATCTGCTTCACATTCTTGGTTCACTTGAAAATCTGCCCATTCATTTTACTGGTTCTGTCTGGATTCTACCTCACTGCTTAATATTGCACCTGTGCTACTTTAAACCATTCCAAAAAATGTGGATCTCCAGATTTTCCTCTCCTATCACAGTGCTCTTCCCAGGAAGTGTTCTTGGCAGATAAAGAAGATTCAGAGATGGTTAACTGAAGTTCCAGTTTTCCAGAGAAGAGAGCTGGAGTTGGAGAGCTGACAGACACATGAAAGAATAGATACTAATTATCTACAGCATAAGTGAAGCTTGGAAGGTGTTAGTCATGTAGAAATTCTTTTTTTAGATCCTTGTTTTCAGACAGATTACATTTTGGAGAATCAAGATAATATCCAGTAGTAGGACCTCTTAGGAGGAATGGCTCTACCAAGCCTAGGGATGAGGGATTGGACAGCATGTGAACTACGAGGTGTGTAGAGCACCCAGATAAACAGAGGGTCACCCTAACTCCTGGAAAGCCATGCTTGGAGAAACTAAAGTTCAATAAGAGGAACAATTTTTTTAATGCAGTAATTGATCAAATGGTGTCAGAACAGCCCTTTAGCCAACTATACAAATGAAGAAGAATTCTCTAGCATATGCTTTCACACAGGGGTCAACAGTCAACTTGAAACTTTTGTTCCAGTTAGAAGGAAAATTCACAAGGTTGACTTAAGATACACCTAGCTCTATACCAGGGGTCAACTTTCCAAACACAGTGAAGTGAGCTACAGTCTGAGAAGAATACAATAGTCCTGCTTGGTGGAAAAGAAAGATACCAGAGTTGGGGTCAGTTAAGGCACCTGAATTTGAGAGTTAGGACATCAGAAAGGAAGGAACTATGCATACAGCAGGTCCCATAAGTTTATGTGAAGGTGCCCCTGTGAATGTAAGGGAAAGAATGGGACTGTACAAGATCAGAGCAAGACCACTGGGAGCTAATCAGAGAAAAGATGCCACAAAGTTGAACGTGAATTCCAGTGTCATTAATATAAGAGCCATATATTCTGGACCTTATTAATAGGGGCATCACCCTTTGAGAAAGACCTACTCTAGAATGTCATAGCAACACCTAAAATAATCCAGAAGATCCACTGGAGAGACCATTTGAAGTTGAGTCCACCAAGTTATGGAGTTTCAGAAACACACCGGACACACATCAAAGATTCATCATAACCAATTATAAAAACAATCCTGCACATATTCAGGGGGAAAAAACAGTAATTAATTATCTGCATGTTAGAAGAAAATTCAGCTGTCACAAGAAAACACTAGACACTGTTATTATTGTTGTTCCATGCCACTGAGTCCGTTCCAGCTCATTGTGACCCTATGCACAACAAAACAAAACACAGCCTGGTCCAGCACCATCTCATAATAGTTACTATGTTTGAGGCCATTGTGTATGCCACTGTGTCAATCCATCTCCTTGGAGGTCTTCTTTTTTGGCACTGACCCTTTCACTTTACCAAGCATAGTGTCTTTTTCCTGTCTTTCCTGACAAATTGTCCAAAGTAGCAGAGAGAAAAATCTCACCATCATTGCTTCCAAGAAGCATTCCAGCCATACTTTTTCCAAGTAGATTTGTTCATTCTTCTGACAGTCATGGCATAACTCTATATTCTTCACCAACACCACAATTCAAAAGCATTAGTTCTTCCCTGATCTTCCTTATTTGTTGTGCAACTTTCCCACTTATATGAGCTGACTGAAAATATCACCACCTGAGTCAGGCACATCTTAATCCTCAAAGTGACAGCCTTGCTCTTTGACAATATAAAGATGTTTTTTGAAGCAGATTACCCTAATGAAATAGATTGCTTGATTTCTTGACTGCTGCTTCCATGATTATTGATTGAGAATCTAAGTAAAATGAAATGTTTGAAAACTTCAATCTTTTCTCCATTTATTAGGATGTTATTCAGTGGTCCAGTTGTGAGGATTTCATTTGCTTTACATTGAGGTGCAACCCATACTGAAGGCTGTAGTCTTTAATCTTCATCAATAAGGACTTCAAGTCCTTTTGCCTCCCAAAAAAGGAGATGTGTCATATGCATATTGAAGGCTGTTAATAGGTCCTTTTCCAATCCAGATGCCACATTCTTTTTCATATAATCTAGCTTCTAGGAATTTTTGCTCATAACACAGATTGAATAATTATGATGAAAGGATACAACCCCGATGCACATTTTCCTGATATTAAATCATCAATTATCACCTTGTTTTGTTCAAACAATTGCCTCTTGGCCTATATCCAGGTCTGAAAAATGTATCACCCACAATATCATATAAACAAGTTTAAAAAACAAACAAACAAACAAACAAAACTAGGCATTCAAAAACAAAGGAAAAAAAGGTTCACACTCAAGGGAAAATATTTTAAAACACCAAATATAAATAAAAATCTAAGATGGTCCAGGTGGACTTAGTAAATCAGTAAATTGTATGCTTGAAATCCTTTCACATAGATACCTAAAGATGTTATACTTCACTGGACTTCTGCTCTCTAATATGGACTTCCCTCAGAAGCACGTGCAGGCTCTGAAAGGGACCCAGTTAAATCTGTGCCTAAACCAAACATATGGTGTCCTTGTTAGCTCCAGATAGTGCCTTAAAAATGAAATTGTTTCCTAAAGCAAACATACACACACACACACACACACACACACACACACAAAATACGGTGCTTCCCTTCATCCCTCAGCCATAACAGGGACATGGAGGTTTACGCTTTCAGTTAAAGGGGAATTTAGTTTTGTGATATGGAACCTAGAATAAAAAGGCAAGTCTAATAACTGACCATCACATAATGTGAGTCTTCTGGAACACTCAGCAATCGCTACTGGTAAAAACCAAAATGAGTTATCCTACAGTCCTCCTCAAATTATGAATCACCTCCAAATGGTTTCTTCTTGTAAAAGTAAACATTCATATGTTCTCGTCCTCTACAGTCCCACTCTTGGGCCTATATGCAGGAAAAATATGCAAAAGAACCCGAAGATATGTATTCCAGTATATTCATAGTAGTACCTTCTATAATCAAAAACTCTTGGAACATACATGCCTGCCCACCTCTTTTGATGATGTATATCTATAACCTGAATTATTCATTGTTGTTGTTGTTGTTAGTGCCGTCGAGTCGGTTCCGACCCATAGCGACCCTGTACAGGGTTTCCAAGGGTGTAAATATTTACGGGAGTAGAAAGCCTCATCTTTCTCCCGCGGAGCGGCTGGTAGTTTCGAACCGCTGACCTTAAGGTTCGCAGCCCGATTCGTAACCTAGTGG